TATATATATATATATATATCTTTATTTAGATTGCTTTTCTGACTACTTTAGGTGCTTTTTAATTGGATCTTTGTGAACACCTTTTTAATTGGATTTTTAAAACTAATTTATAATAACTTGAAATAAGTAATGACGTGTGTAGTTGATTTGTATATATTTTATTGTTGAGTTGAAATCTCAATTGTTAATATTGTGTTGTTTATATGAAATGTGAATTGGTGATAAATTGTGTTGTTATGTTGATATTGTAGTGTTGAAGGTTTGATGGATTAGTTGAAAATATGGTATTGTATTGTAATAGACTCAGTTGCTTGCATTAGTTATATAATTGTTTTATTCATATATTGATTATGTTGATTATTTAAATTTTAGTTTATTTTTACATATTTTTACGTGATTGAATTTTAATAATTATATTTGGCATGAGAGTAGAGTAAAGATAATTTATTGTTCGAGTTATTTTAGGAGGCCATGTTGATGTTAATAATGTTGATATTTTGAGCTACCTTGGAGTAGCTAGTTGATAGTAGATGTGCTTAACCGATACCTGAAGCTACATTTTCTGTTATATGGATTATTGTATAGATATATACACATCTATATGAAAGTTTAGTTGTAAATATATATGTAGTCTAAAAGAAATATGAGTGAGTCCTTCATGGTGCTTTAGGGTATCTTCCGAGTTAGCTTGCTTGGAGCTCCCAAATGACTTACTTTGAACGAGCATGAAGTTGCTAAGAGCGCACCTCCCTCTTATTGTGAGTAAGTGTTCCCAATATTAGCTCCTTTTTCATTAGCTCTTCCTCCTTGTATCTCAAAATTTAAAAAAAAAATGTTGGACTTGGTCATGCAAAGGAAGAATTCATGGAAGAATGTATTCATTTGATGAGGGAAAATAGGGAAACCAATACAAATAAAATAATGTATGAAAATAGAAAAACAAAATGAGAGGAAAATAAACTCCGCATACATGTATAAACAACACCATGTTATAATTACAAAATGCATTCCAACTACGAGAAAGAAAAAGAAAGAGAGAAATAAGTTTAGAAAATAATATTTCATTTTTTTTGATGTATTTCGGTTATGAGTTGAGTGTTTAGAAACACTGGAGCTCTATATAATAATTAGGGTAAAAATGGAGGAAAACTTTGTGTTCTCTGCCTCTAAAATATTAATGATTGATCTCTTTCAACAAATATTTTTTCATATGTATTGGCTTAAAATTAAATTTCCGATCACATTTAAAAGATAAGATTATTTATCAACTATGTCACACCTTTTAATTTATATTTACACTCTATAAATAGAATCTATGTACATATATTATACACTCAATGAGTAGAACATATGTACATATTTAACTTATATTATGCTATTTTTAGAGAACGTGGATAGAACACATGCACATAGTAGATTAATAACAAAGTTAGATTATAACATATGTACATATTTGACTAATGACTTATATTAAGCTATCTCCATGCTGTTTTTCTTCTTATTATTAAATATGTTATATCTATCACGTTCCTTTTTCTATCTTCTTAGTTCTCTTTTCTCCCACAAGTATATACAGTACTCCTTAGAAATATGAAATCATTTTTGCCCTGTATGTATTCTTTAGGAAGTAGTGTAACTTTCAAGTTTCAACCATTCTCTTTTACTTTATAGAGCAAGTATGATGTAAATATTTCTTTTTAACTTTTTATTACAAATTTATAATTAGTATAGGAGAATCAGAGAATAATGCTTGCTAAGTTAGGTTTGCTAGAATACGATCTCTAGATCAAGCAATCCCTAAAAGAGTTTGTGTCATTTAAATTAAAGATAAAAATATGTTTTTAGTCTTCTAAAAATAATTAAATTTGGTTTTAATTCTTCAATAGTTTTTTTTGTTTCTCATTATTTTCAATTTTAAAAAAATGATTTATATCTCCATTTGTTAATGTCGTTTAAAGAACATAGTATCATGTAAATCTATTTTACAAGATAACTTCTATGACAGTTTGTAACGAAAATGAAATTACTGAATAATTATACAATCACAACTAAATATAATATAATGTTAGAGAGTTATAGCTTGAGTGACATTAAATTCTTTTAGATATCGATTATTCACATAATTCTTCTTCACGTTAGTCATTAAATCAACCTAAAAGCAATTTAAAAAAAAAAATCTGTCTACATTGAATAACATTTATTTGAAAGATCAACCACCCGACTTTACATGAATTTTTATATAACATTACTCATTTTAATTCTGGTAGATCTAAATCACCCAAATATTGACATGTTCCCAAACTAGTGTAATGTTAACTTTTTCTTATGTGGATACAGTTATTACTTAGACCCCACATGCTTGCCAACTTGGTCCCTTCCACCTTATCAGCACATGTGATTATATTGACCTAATTAATTTGATGGTATAGATAAAGAAAAATATGACTTATCTTTTTTCTATGGTTAAGATGAATTTGATCACTACATTGATGATACACATTTTTATTTTTTTATGCTAGGTATCACGTGGGACTTGGAGAGTAAGTTGACAATGTAGTGAATAAGGTTGATTTTTACCTAATTCAGATTTTAGTTTCACCCTTAAAAATTAAACTTAATTTGTCGTTATTCATTCTACCACTTAAAAAGATGAAAACCTAAACTTGCCTTGCAGGAAAATTGAAACCAACACGCATGAAAATATATATATATATATATATATATATTCACAATCTTAAAATCAATTCATCATAAACCATTTCATGATAAAGTTAAACTAGAGAAGAGAAATTAGGTTTTACAAAAGGATATCACTAATCTACTAGATATTAATAAACATTTATTTAGTATGAATGAAGATTTGTTTCATATTAAGACTATATAAATGGATGAAATTGCTGTATCTTTTTCACCCTATGTTAAGGGTTTGGGCACATACAAAGAGAGTATATTAAATTCCACAAATAAAAGTGGGATATTGACATATTGCCATATTGCCAAGCCGATAAAGGAAGCTCCGTTGGGTAGCTTTTACAATGGTCTAAGCTCTAAAATGTTAGGGATTATGATTAGTGTCTGAGCCAAAAGTCATCAATTTTATATTATAAAATGTTTATTATTTTTTATTGTGTTTATAAATATATGATAAGCCATTAAAAATAAAACATTTGTTATATAAAAAACAATCATCAAATGCTTGACTTTTTAGACTGATTTAAAAATGTATTCAATAATTTTATACCATGTATTTATAGACACAATTTAATAAACCGCCCCTTAATATAATTCATAAGTTAATACACCTCCCCTTAATTTCGTATGTTGAAGTTTATCTATATTTAACTGAGTTCTTACGAGTCTTAAGATTGAAAAATGTTGGATGGAAAAAATTTTCAATTAAATGTTTCGACACACACATGTTTAAATTTCTAGATCTAGTACTTTTTTTTATATATATAACCAACCATTAGTCTTAAATTTCCATTACTATATGTCTTAAATTGGTTCCAGTTATCAAAACAAAAGACTGGCCCAATGTATTTTGATTGGGCCAATGGACTTCGTAATTGCCTGCCATTGATTGAGGGCTCTCCATGTTTTCGATATGGGCCCCCAATTTAAATGTCTCACAATTATGAAACATGGGTGTAACAGAAACAAAAGCAGAGCCCGCAGATAAAAATTAAAAATATATAAAAAGAAATTCTGAAGTTTAAAATAGTGAACAATAAATTTTCACTTTAAAAAATAAAAATTGAAAATAAATGGTACTGGGTTTTAGTCATGAAAATAATATATTTTTAATAATCTTTTAAGATGTAAAACATACTGCCTCAAGAATTTTGTATAATGTGTTTTTGAATGTACGCGGTGGTAATGATATTCGAATTTATGACTCTGGGGAGTATTTATTCAAGTCCCTCGTTAACACAATCCTGGGATTTAAAAAATAAAAAATAAAAAAATAAAAATAAAAATGCCACCATTATGCTAAAATTTATGGGTGATTTCGAGAAATTTTATAAATTTAAAGGCATATCAAATTAACACAATTCGACTGAATTTGATTCTTTTAGAATGAATAATTATCTTTATAAGTAACTAAGTAATTTTTCTCATTAATGAAAAACCAGTAATTTATATTAAAATACATACATAATATATTGTAAATATATGAAAATAAAAGTTATTAATTTGCTTCTCAATAATTAGAATTACTTAATTTACTTTTATTCACGTTAAATAAGTCAGATGATATCTTAAATTGAATGAAAGGAGCTGTCACCATTCATAAAATTGTAGCTCTTTCAAAAATGAGTTTTGTTTTAACATTAATTATGATGCATGAAAGTTTTTATCACTTTTGGTGCAAGAAAAAGCAATTTAAGAAAATGGTCCTCTTAAGGCTCTTATACAAATATATATATAAATAAAAAAAAGAATGATTTTGTATTGAAATGGTGAGATAAAAGAGTAATTTTGTTGAGAGTGGAAATTGAGGGCGTTGATTGGCAATAAGAGGATGTTATGTATTGATGGAATAGATATTGAAGGTAGAGAAGCATGGAAGAAGTGGGATGTTACCTGGAGCTCAGTGGTGACAGGGTACTCATCCATGTCGACGTAGTTTTTGTTGATGGCAGCCATGATGAGTTTGTCGCATTCAGGCTCCATCCACGTCGTCACAAAGGAGGCCAGGTTCAGCCGAGGGTTCCCGTCAAGCATCAGCTCGTCGTTTATGATCTGGTACGCCGCTTCCTTCGGAATCGATTGTTCCGGCATCTTGAACCTGCAACACCATTCCATGCATGCATACATGCATGATGCATGCATCATCAATCATCATCACATTCACATATATAATAATTAAGGATCCATTAAAGAGAGAGAGATCCACCTGGGGAGGGAGGCGCGGACATAGCGAGAGGCGAAGGTTGAATGGACAGAGACATCTGTCTGAGAGGCAGGTTTCGAAAGAACCATTTCGAGTCTTCAGAGAGAGAGAGAATGTGTAAAACTGATTAATTAGAATGAAGGTAAGGAGAGGAGTTACGGGGCCTTAAATAGCTCCATCAAGGAAGCCATGTGTTACGTAATAAATTTAACTCCACTTTAGCCAAGGAGTTGCCACATTAATTCAATAATAAGCTAATTAGTGAAATAAAACAGATGATATAATTAATAAATAAGCTTATGTAACACCAGAATCAGAGACTCGCAAAGGAAAAGACACATTGAGAGCCCACTTATAGAAAATTGACGAGGACAACGCCGCAGTCTACGCGCCTCACTAAAACCTTGAGGCTGAATCACCAATAAGAGAATGAAACAAATCAAGGGAAGAGAATGAAGAGGTAAGAGGTAAAGGACAATGACCTCTTTACCGTCGAAACCTTTAGAACGAATCAGGTGAGTGCAGCTGCAGCCCCTTAAATTACAAAGTATTCGTTACACCTCCAATAAAAAGAATCTATTTTTTTTTTATTTTATTCTATTATTACAAGTTTTAAATTTGAAAAGATATTTTTCTTTTTATGAAAAAAGATAAAGGAGATTTTTTATTTAGAAAAACCTTTTTTGTATGTAATTCACCTCAATTTAAACTAGTAAATAACTAACAACCTCTTTCAATATTAGGAACTAAATGACACTTTACTCATTTTTTTTTCCAACAAACATGTTTAGAATTTTGATTTTAATGGTTGGAGAGATGGATATTTATTATTTAGGTAAAAAAATTTGTTAGAAAAGCAACTTCTATTGGTTGTAAGAGGATATTATACAGATTATATTACTTAATCCGTAATGTTTCGCATAAAATTTGTATTTTTTCAAAAAAAAAAAAAACCTAGATTTCTAGTTCTCAAGGAGAATTGGTTGCATGATGTAAATTTACACATCCTCATAGACATGTAATGCGTGCATAAGAGGTGAAAAGAGAATTTTAACCATATAACCTATACAGTATACACAATGGTTAAGATTGTTTTAATTTATTTTAACTATAATCATTCATTCTGTTTATACAATTGAGATTCGCTTCTTTCATACTTTGATCTGTCATTTGGTACACTCCCAACTCTTATTCAGGGATAGTATACCGTCAAATAAGCCTTTGGTCGAGACAGAATTCAATATCTAAAACAATGTATTACGACTGATACATAAAAGGAGAAAAACGGAATGCACCAGGCACACTATTTATATTTTCTCCCTATTCAATAATATATTTGCAACAACCCAAAGACGTATGAACAATTAGTTGAACTCAGTTATCATGTTTTGTGTATTATTATTCTACATTTATTTTGTTTCTTGCAAATTTGATTATGAGAAATTTTGTGTAATTTCTCAACAATGGGTATCTAGAGCTTTGGTATTAATTTCTATCAATTCTCAAAAGAATTTAATTGATTCACAAGGAATCAAATTTGAGTGGGAGAAGTGGCTACAGATGAAGGAAAAGTGAAAATTAAGAAGTTTGATGGTGCAAACATTGACTTTTGGAAGATGTAGATCAAAGATTATTTGTATTAGAAAAAGTTGTTCAACCTCTCTCAAGAAACAAACCAGAGGGCATGGGGGATGAATATTGGACTATTCTCGAAAGACAAGCCTTTGGAGTTATCCGATTAACGTTATCCCACAACGTTGCATTCAACATTGCAAAAGAAAAGATCATAACAAGTATTATAGTGGCTTTTTCTCATATGTATGAAAAGTCATCAACCTCAAATAAAGTTCATTTGATGAAACGGTTATTTAATTTGCGGATGAAAGCAGGTGTATTTGGCAGGGCAACATCTTAATGACCTCAATATAGCTACAACCCAATTGAGTTCAGTTGGAATTGAATTTAATGAAGAAATATGAGCGTTGATAATTTTGTCTTCTTTACCAGAAAGTTGGAATGCTATTGTCACAACTATGAATAGCTCTTCGGGAAGAAATAAGTTAAAATTCAATGATGTTCATGATCTAGTTCTCAGTGAAGAGATTCAATAGAGAGAGTCAAGTGAATCTTCAACCTCTTCAGTTTTGCATACAAAATCAAGATGAAGAAGTTTAACTAGAAGAAATGGATGTGGTAAATCCAATGACAAGAGGTTTAGGTCCAAGAATCATCGTAGTTTCCACAACTCAAAGAAATTTGAGTGTTGGAATTTTGGTAAGAGTGGACATTACAAAAATCAATGCAAAAGTGCACCAAAGAATTAAGAGGTGAAAGTAGAGGCAAATGTTATTTCTACTTTAGGAGGAGATGATGCGTTGATATGTTTTTTAGAGAACAAGGAAGAGTCTTGGGTGTAAGACTCTAGAACATCCTTTCATGCCACTTAACAAAAAAAATTCATTGAGAATTATGTCCCCTAAAACCTCAATAAAGTTTACCTTGGTATTGAGAAACCTTGTGAGATTGTGGATAAAAGGTGTAGTGAAGATTAAGTTGAATGGGTCTATATGGGAGTTAAAAAATGTTAGACATATTCCTAACCTGACAAAGAACTTAATCTTAGTGGGTTAGATGGCTAATGATGACTACACAACAATTGCACATGGCGATCATTGAAAGACTTCATAGGGTGCAACGATAATTGCTCGTTGTAAAAAATGGTACTCTTTACAAGAAAGTGGGAGCATGTTGTTTGATTTTAGTTGCAACAAATGAAAATCCCAATCTATGACACCAAAGGTTAGGCCATATGAGTGAGGAGATGAAGATCATGCCCTCAAATGATAAACTACTAAGTCTTCAGTTAGTAGAAATTGGCATGTGTGAAGACTATATACTTGGAAAGTAAAAACAAGTTAGCTTTTAGACAAATGGAAAAACCCCAAAGAAGGAGAGACTTGAGCTTGTTAACTCCGATGTTTGGGGTCCAACAATTGTTCCATCCATTGGTGGGAAGTAATACTTTGTGACTTTTATTGTTGATCACTCTAGGAAGGTATATGTATACTTTTTAAAACATAAGTTTGAAGTATTTGAGGCTTTCAAGATTTGGAAAAAACATGGTAGAAAATGTGACATGTTTAAAGATCAAAAACTTAAAACCAACAATGATGGTAATATAAAGGTGTCATCTTTAAGAATTTTTGCTACAAGGACAGTATCAAAATGGAAAGGGTTGTATCAGGTACACTTAAGCACAATGGTGTAACTGAATATATGAATCAAATATTAATTGAAAGATCCAAAAACTTGCGTTTGTAGTCAAACTTACCAAAAGAAATTAATAACGAAAATATTTTTATAAAATCATTGTAATATATTAAAAATTATGATAGGTTATATTAAATTTTCTCGTGAATCACCCATTTAAATTCTTATAAAATTAAATGTCAATTAAATTATTCTTTAAAATTAATAAAACGAAAACTTCAACTTGTAGATCATCGATCAATTAATCTACTATTTTAACATTAAAAAATTGAATCGATATATAATATGAATAATAGATAGCCAACTAATAAGTGCACACATGGCTCTCACGTCACATATATGAACAAAAATATCTAAATTTTTATTTCTATTTATCGTATCTAAATTTATATCAAAAGTTTAAAATGCCTTTTTGTTTTTCAAAATAACTATGCAATTTTAATCCTCAAATTATAATTAAACAAAATTAAGATCTGCACATAAGCATCAAAATTGTTAATAATTTTAGTTTTCAAGATGTTTCATATGAAAATAAGATTAAAAAATTATCAAAATTGTAAAGATAATAGTTGAATTTCACATTTTTTTTCCTCAAAATTATACTTAATAAATAAATTCATTTAATATATATAGATTGAAATCTTGAATAGAAATTAAAATTGCACATATATTTATTATTATGATATCTATGTGTGTATGTTTGTGTTTAGGGTAGTTTCTATCTTGGGGCTTATGATATCTATCTTGGTGCATGTGGTGGTACCTATCTTGTGCCTTATATATGGTAGTGGCAACGGTATAACCAAAAGTTAACTACACAAATCTTATAGAACCATTTACCCGAACACCTTTGGTGCATAAAAAAACGAAAATATAACCAATTTTCATCACAAAATTTACCAAAACAAGACAAACAAATTAGAACACAATCAACATTAATTTAATCAAACACCGATAAGAGAACACGCAATACCTGAATAGAATCGCGCACGCAACTGGAGAGAACAAATGGAGAGAATTGTGCAACCGGAGAGAAGCAAATCACCACCATGCCGACACCGAAAATAAGAACAAAAAATTGTCGGACGATGTATGCTTTCAGGGGAAGTGAACACGCAAGGAATCAACTTGTCGTTGCAAGCTTTTAATTTGATATACTACATCGCTTAATATACAAAATTTTCCTTTTAAACAAGATCTCGAGTGTTAGTATTTGTTTTTTTAAAGATTGGAAAAATTACAAAGATGATCCCAATGAGGATTGAACCTAAATTCTCATGTTTCTAACTATCTCAATCCTTCCCTACCTAACCACTAGGCTAACCCTAATGGTCCGAGTGTTAGTATTGTAAATGAAAAAAATGTGGTTAATTTTTATTTTTTATTAAAAATAATCAATAAATCTTTCTTATAAAAATTTATTATTAATAAAATTAATAAATATTTTGGGTTAATAATATAATTTATAAACAAATAGAAAGTAATACAAACCAAACCGAGAAGTTATTATTACTTCTTCATTATTTCCCTTATTTAATACAAGCCATTATTATGTGACAATTAAAACAGAAAATTTTAATACAAAGTAGGGAAAAAGAAAAAGAGCAACAAGCACCATGCATTATCCACCTGCATGAGGCATGCATATTGATTGGGAATGCTTAATTTCATTTGAACACAATTTTTTAACATACTAATCTTAATACATTCTTTTTTATTGATTAAAATTTATTAAAATTCACAAAATATGAAGATAGTCATTAGATAAGGTATAAAACCCACTAATTTTTGTGATTTTTAATAAATTTCGATCGATAAAAAAGAATATATTAAAAAAAGTGTGTTAATTAGTGTTTTTAACATTTCTCTTTCATTCATTAATCAAGTCCTGACATCTTCCTAAAATGAAGGACAAATTGATAGACCTTTTCTGGGTCTGGAAGAACTTTGGCAACAGACTCCCTCTTCAAACACCTTTTAATCCAAGCTGAGAGTTTTGGTGTATGGTCTTGAATTTTGAAGCCTCCAAGCTTCTCATAAGCCAAAAACCAAGGTGAATGAGAAATGGCTATGATGTCCACATACCCAAAGGCTTCACCACCAAAATAGTTCTTCTCCCCAAGAGCTTCCTCAAGATGCTTTATAACTTCAATGAAGTCCCTAGTGCCCACTTCTCGCTCTTCTCCATTGCTCCCCCATACACTCCTTCCGGTCTCGAATACCTTCCAAGTATATATAAATAAAAAGAAAATCCATAATCATATATGTAAACACATATATCATTAATTTTAGCTTCTTAGGGGAAATTATTATATGATTTTGGATCACGTTGTCTCAACTTTTAGTATTTGTTAAATATTTGAAAGAAATTATTTTACAAAGAATAATTATTGATAATGGGTTAAAAAGAAATTATCTCTACCTAACCAAGTAATCAAATGTTATTAATTATTTATTGTAAATTAAATTTTTTGACTATATATCACACAAAAATTAAATGGAATCATAAACGCATAGTAATTTGAAACTATCTAACAATCTCTCTAATGTAGAGATTTTGATATTAGATGTTTTTTTTTTGGTTTATATAAGTAAGGGTGTTTCCATGCTAGCTTTTGTGCTGTTTCAATCTCTTGTAAACCAAAACAACTTATGAGTACAATTTTGTGACACTCACCATGGTATTCGGATTTCTTTTTAATAAGTAGTGATATTTGTACACTCAAATATTTCAAACAATCTAATGGCATCTCGCATTTTTCTCCAATTTTCCTTCTATCATGTTATATACTTGTTACATCTATCACTTTTCTATTTTATTTTTTTTCTTGGTGTATAGTAGTATATTGGATTTTCACAAAGTACATCATTTTTTGTTATCTATAGACATAATTTGTACAATATTTTAAAGTTAATAATTAAAAACTAATCTACACTTACATAGTATGACTTTGGTATTAAAATGTTTAGACATCTTAAATTAAAGATATTGAGCATAAACTTAAAATGTATAGACATGCATGGGGTCACAGAACTTGTTAGATCTGAAAGAATAGCACTCAATGTTAAAATACAAGAAAAGAATTTTGGCACACGACCTTCTAGACATTAAGAAAGAGTCAACTAACCTTTTTATCAATGTAATCAACCCAGAATCGAGCTTGGGCACGATCATAAGCACTAGTTGGAAGCAGTGAGTTGGAAGGCCAGACTTCATCAATGTAGGTAACAATGATAGCAGACTCAACGATAGGTTTATCATTGTGCAAGAGCACGGGAACTTTTTGATGAATTGGATTTGACTTGAGCAGAAGATCACTCTTGCACCCAAACACATCCTCCTCACTAGCCACATACTTCACCCCTTTCTCCTCCAAAGCAATTTTCACTCTCCCACAATATGGGCTGGCCCAAAAGTCCAAAACCTCAAGCTTGTCTCCCTTTGACATGTTATCTATGTCTTTCCTTTCTTTTGCTTCTTATCGGTTCTGGGGTGACTACAAAATGTGAGACAAGTTCAAATTTATAGTGCACATTTTAATTAGATGAAATCTAATTCGGAATTTACTATGCCTACAATGTTCTTAGGTTTGTACCACACGATGTTGCTACATCTTGTAAGTGTCAATTTCTGTGGTATCATATGGCCGCCCTAAGGGTAAGTAGTCATCTATTTTTTATTATTGACGATGAACCCAAACTGGTTTATTCTTAACCTACAACTTTCTTCATTCTTTAAGATTTTTAAGGGAAATAGAAATTAGTTAAATTTTGTACCATTAGCTGGTTAAGTGCTTTTGTGCAGTAGCTTCAAAAATAACAATGGATGTGCCTGTGCTGTTACACCATTAAATTCCAGCCTTTCTGTTAAACCACAATCAAACCGTGCTGTCAAACCAAACAACATTAACGCTTCAATCGTGCCACAGCAAATTCAAATGATCAAATCAGAAAAAATGAGGAGTGATTATTTTATGGAAAAGGACGAATATTTTTATAAGCATAGAAGGGCAACTCACATAAGAAAATGTTTATCATTAATCTTAACTAGATATATCCACTCATATGATGTAGAAGTGTCATAAAAATATAGATTTCATATAATCTTTTTAGAACTGGAAAGTTATTTAGTATTATTTTGTGGAAGCATTAAGATAATGAGGTTAATAAAAAAGTAAATGAGATATAGGACAAAGAAAAATCACTACTGATATCATTATAAATTTATTATTGTTAATATCTCCTGCAGAAGATAATTATGTGCCTCAATTAGTTGGTCGAGAGCTTTTTTTTTAATTTATTTATTAATAATAATAATAATAATTATTATTATTATTATAAGAGTTATTTCATATAGTTATACGAATATACAAGTTTTGTCAATGATGTTTAACATCATCTTGTGTCTCGTGTCTCTTAACCAGTTTGTTTAGAAATTAAATTATGTTAAAAGGAAAATATGTGTTTTTATACATTCGCAGTTTTCAACTAAGTTTAGTACTACTTCTAACCATAGATAATCCATAACAATATTATAGTTACTCAAAATAACATTCGTTAAAATTTTCACTATAATGTTCAGTGTAATGTTTTAAGTGTCATTTGACATTGAGACCATAGGATTTAGAAAAAAGATACAAGTCTCCGACGGTAGAATCCATCTACAAAGATGTCGCAAATGGATTCACATATTAAATATTTATAATTTTACTATCAAATATATTGATATAAGAAAACTATCAAATATATTGATATAAGAAAACGTCTAATACAAAAAAGAAAGAAAAAAAAACTTTGCAACAACATAAATACATGAAGGACTAACATGAGAGAAAAAAAAAAAAAAAAGAAGCTAAAGGGTATAATTTTCCCAAAGAAAAAGATATCTAAAATTGTAATTATAGTTTAAAATGATACATGATAGTATCAAAACTAGGTGTATTTGGTTTGGTGTAATTGGTCAGCACTACAGAAATCAAGACATCTTATGCTTAATTACAAAACAATTGCACAAAACCAAAAATTTTGTGCAAACATCGTTCTAGAAAAGAAAATTCAGGATTGAAACGTAGCCACTATTTGCAGGGAAACAGTACACATAATTGGATTTAAAAAATAATCTGTAAACATTTATTACACCTTGCAGTGGAAAATAGCAATCGAATTATGAAAAGAATATGATATGAAACTGTCTGTACATTTATGTACAAAAGAATTGCACCTTCTGATTTTTCCATTAAATGTATGCCCAACATAATTAAATTTATCCCTATAGCATAGCATTGACCTTCGAAACTTTCAAGCAAACACAAATATGAAGAAAATACTCGGGATTCATCAAGTTGTTAACCACCCAAGAAAAAGGTATGTCTAAAATTGGTTCTATCCCTTGAATGCGTATAAATTTGATTTCAGCAAGCTCAAGTGGGTGGCAAGATGACCACGGATCGGATGAACTTTCTCCCTCTTCTCCTGCACTTTGGTTGATGTTAGCATCTCCTTCACTTACGAAGGAATTTTCCGGAAAAAACTCGGGCAATATTCTTTTAACTGCCTCATTTAAGCTAAAGAATTTACCTGCACGCAACATATATAAAAGAGAGAATATATCAGTTAAATTATAGGAAAGTAAAGATAATGTTAACAATAACACAATAATATCTATTAATTGCAAAGCAATTTATAGAGGAAAAACACACTTTAAAAAAAAAAATTGACAAGACTTTTTAAAAATTTACTCTTTTTTTGACACCACTAAAAATCTAATTTTTAAAATTTATTGAAAACTAAAAATGGTATTACTTATTAAAAAGAGAAACTAATTATGTGTATGTATGGCTCTAGACATAAAACAGTTTGCAACTTTATTTAGTTTTTTTTTTTTCTCTAATATGACCGACTCTTTTCCCATTGCCCACCAATCTATTCTTCATAAAACTATGGCTGATTTTTGGCATGCAACTTCCCAAAAAGGAAGGAAAAAAGACAGTCATTAAAGATAATTAATTTAAAATTTGAGGATTCTCTGCAAGCCGTGACTTACCATCTTCCCTGTGAATCTCAACAGGTCGATTGATATACGAGACTTTGTCCCAATTATCAATTTGAGGAGCATCTTCAAAATCATCAAACTCCTCATTCACAGTCCACAGATATAAACGAACAGGAATCCTACCTAACAAAAGATAGTTGTTAACCACAAAAAATAAGCTTAGTATGAATGGTCACCAATGTCAAAAGTACACCAAATTGAAGTTCTTTGCAAGGGGGAGGGGGAAATGATTGTATGGTGAGCAATGCATTAAAAGTATTAAAACCAAATTTGAATAATTTACAAATTTCCCGGTTTTGTTGGTGAATGTTAACAAAGAAAAAAAAAAACTGACTAGCATTTAAAGTCCACCAACTAGGCAGGTTAAGTTTAAGTTTTATTCCCAATTCTTTTTCACTTTTAGAACTGTGTTAAGCACCAAACATTTAATGAGTTGTTATGTTTATGACTTTACATGATGAGATTATGAGACTTTGATGAATTGACACTTTTTTTTCTTTTGAAATTTTAGTCTATGATTCTGCTGTTTTTAATATATACATGTTTCTAATTTATTTTTGCAATTTTTTTAGTTTTGTACTTTTTTTTCAAACCATTGGCCACCACACCATCCACCATCATTTATGGCAAATTTTCGGCTCATAGCCAATAGCCATTGTCGATTATTGATAACCTTGATTAGCACTCAAACTAGTTCATATTGCTCACCGGTCTTCACTTGTCCCGCAGCATCCATATCCCCTGTACTTTGTGGAGATTTGATCGAGCCTGAACTGATATTTTCAGCATATTCGTCTTCAAAAGTTCCAAGCTTAAGCTTAGATGCCACCCGTTGATAAGATTCCAGGTTCCCTGCAATTCAATTGAGCGTTGAAACAAGGCCAAGAAAACAACAAAACAAATTCTCCATAAAGTACCCATGGCAGATGTAACCTTGTTTCTTTCCGGATTTTATTGTTGCTTTATATTTTTACACTTATCTTTTAGGAATCTTAGGGTTGAATAGTATTCATTCCAATTTGAGATTGGTTATATATTATGCAACTTATGTTTGGATGTGTATGTGCAACTGTATGTTTTAAATCATTTTGTTGCCTAAATAAATACTGATGGATAAATTATTTGGTAAAGGCAAACAATAGTTTCTAGTATGGGAAAGATCCCGTATGTCTCTCCACAAGACCTATGAAAAAAAATATTAAAAAAAAAAAAAATTACATTTCAATCTTTATGACTGTGTCAGATAATAAGGATGGGGTATGTATAATTTGCTAAAATGTGAAGGACAGAACAGCACAAAATCACTTGTCCCGTATTTGATTTGAAAACAGTCAAGGAATGGCGCAAAAGAAAGGATGAAGTACTGGACAGAATGTAAAATTTTTGTCACTAACTAAACCATGGGACAATTTTTTTCTCATGGTACAACACTAAATGATACATCAATATAACACAAGTGCAACTGCATAAATGATATATCAACATTCAAAAAGTTAATGACACTCCCTTACTCATTTTTTGTGTGGTTATTATCAGAATAATGTTATAATTATATCAGCATTCATTATAATATTAAGAATATATCAAACCATAATATATTAAATTATAATGTGTAATATTTTATTTATAATATAATAAAAATTATTATATAATAAAATATTAGAACATAGATAATTAAATGATAACTATTAAAATAATCAAAATACTAAAAACTTATCTTGCATCTTTATTGATAGGAGACCAATGGTCAATCTTTCTATCGTATCAGTTGGAATCTATCATTTTCATAATGCAAAATCAACATTATATAGCACAAACGACATCATAGTAAATTTCACATTGTTCTTTCTACTATTTATATGTATCAAACAACATAGCACCAATTCCCTGTGCTGCACATCAATCACCAAACAATAGAACAAATGAAAACTTATACTTTAACTCAGCTACTTTTGTGTTGTTTTATTTATGCTGTCCCTCAATGTGAATCAAGGACGCCCATAAAGTTTGAGATGAGAAACTTGAGTTTGGCCGTTCACAAGTCAAGCTTGACTGAACAACCCTTGGCTATCCTCAAAGAAACCAATCTCAAGCTTGACAAAATGGTAACGTTGGGTTCAATTCTAATATAACCCAGGTTAATTAATGACCCTATCCTGATTCCTGAAGATTACATAGCTTGGGTTGCCCTGCCTCATTTGCCACCCAAAGAAAATGAAGGTAACAAGTATGCATGCAACCATCCATTGATAGGGTAAAGCTATAAAAAATAATCAATATTCAATCATATTAACTACTTATGGAAAGAATATGAAGCTTTCTTCACAATAGAAATTTATCAACAACCTTGCTAGCATCATATCAACTCCCCACCATAATAAAGTACGAGACCTTTTAATCAGCACAACCAGCAAGCAAACAAGAGAGTTATTGACTTCAAGGTTCGAGCACCTTAAAAGGTTAAGGAGGCGTTTGGCACACAGAATATTTTTACATTCATGGGAATCTTAAGGTGGGAATCTTAGTTTCCCATGTTTAATAGCTATTTAAAAAAAAAAAAAAAATTTGATTTGAAAACAGTCAAGGAATGGCGCAAAAGAAAGGATGAAGTACTGGACAGAATGTAAAATTTTTGTCACTAACTAAACCATGGGACAATTTTTTTCTCATGGTACAACACTAAATGATACATCAATATAACACAAGTGCAACTGCATAAATGATATATCAACATTCAAAAAGTTAATGACACTCCCTTACTCATTTTTTGTGTGGTTATTATCAGAATAATGTTATAATTATATCAGCATTCATTATAATATTAAGAATATATCAAACCATAATATATTAAATTATAATGTGTAATATTTTATTTATAATATAATAAAAATTATTATATAATAAAATATTAGAACATAGATAATTAAATGATAACTATTAAAATAATCAAAATACTAAAAACTTATCTTGCATCTTTATTGATAGGAGACCAATGGTCAATCTTTCTATCGTATCAGTTGGAATCTATCATTTTCATAATGCAAAATCAACATTATATAGCACAAACGACATCATAGTAAATTTCACATTGTTCTTTCTACTATTTATATGTATCAAACAACATAGCACCAATTCCCTGTGCTGCACATCAATCACCAAACAATAGAACAAATGAAAACTTATACTTTAACTCAGCTACTTTTGTGTTGTTTTATTTATGCTGTCCCTCAATGTGAATCAAGGACGCCCATAAAGTTTGAGATGAGAAACTTGAGTTTGGCCGTTCACAAGTCAAGCTTGACTGAACAACCCTTGGCTATCCTCAAAGAAACCAATCTCAAGCTTGACAAAATGGTAACGTTGGGTTCAATTCTAATATAACCCAGGTTAATTAATGACCCTATCCTGATTCCTGAAGATTACATAGCTTGGGTTGCCCTGCCTCATTTGCCACCCAAAGAAAATGAAGGTAACAAGTATGCATGCAACCATCCATTGATAGGGTAAAGCTATAAAAAATAATCAATATTCAATCATATTAACTACTTATGGAAAGAATATGAAGCTTTCTTCACAATAGAAATTTATCAACAACCTTGCTAGCATCATATCAACTCCCCACCATAATAAAGTACGAGACCTTTTAATCAGCACAACCAGCAAGCAAACAAGAGAGTTATTGACTTCAAGGTTCGAGCACCTTAAAAGGTTAAGGAGGCGTTTGGCACACAGAATATTTTTACATTCATGGGAATCTTAAGGTGGGAATCTTAGTTTCCCATGTTTAATAGCTATTTAAAAAAAAAAAAAAAAAGATTCACAGGAATCATTTGTATCTCACTTTTCCACAAAAACATTCTCAAATGAGAATGGGAATCCAACTTTCCCAAATTAGGGGGAAATTTTATGTATATAAAAAGACCACAGTATCCCCTTTTAAAACAAAAATTATTTCTCTCCTATTTCTCTTTCTCCCTCTCTGTCTCTCTCACTCTCACTCTCACTCTCCCTCTCTCTCTCCCTCCCATATCTCTATTTCTCTTTCTCTCTCTTTCTTATATTTTATTATTTCTTGATCTTGTCAATTTTAATAATATTATTAAAATCTATTTTGTTTCTACATTTTAATAATATTTGTTAACACTTATTTATTTAGTTTTTTATTTGAATGAAATAAAATAATATATTTTTATTCTTCTTAATCTTTACTATAATGTAGCACTTTTCTTTATTATTTTTTTTGTTGAATTCTGTAATTAAATAACTTTAATAAGTTTTCAACTTTTTAAAATAGTTTAATATCATATTTGTAATAAGATTTAAGTAAATAAATATATATAATGAATTTATTTTAATAAAGGGTTTTTTTCTAAAAAATATTTATAAACCCAAGAATATACTATTTTAACAAAATATGAAAATCTTTAATCTCTAGGAATAATGTATTAATATTTTAGTTATTCCTAGGAATTACGATTTTCAATATTTATAATTCTCAGAAATTATGATTCTTGAGTATGAAAAAACTTCTCTCCTACCAAACACTACCTAAAGAAACATGTAAAGAACTAGAAATAGGAACAGGATTACCCTGGGTCTGAATCAAAGTGATTGTAGAGGCAGTAGAGCTATATTTAAGGCTTCAACGAGAATTACAAAGTCTCACTCTCTCTCTAGAGTCTCTATTGCAAGGTTTCAATGAGAAATACAGAGGAAGTCTGTCTCTAGAGAATCTTGGTCCCACTCCCTACAACTGACCATACCCAGGAATTCCTCTCCATAATCCCTACACTTCTTATTGTTATTTTTAGTAACTAAGGGTTTGCTAACAATCTATTTGATTGAAATAAGTAAAAATCCTATCCTCCTCCAACACATGGACAAGGATGTCAAACAGGTATAATACAAAATCACTTAAAGGCATCCTGGAAAGAAACAGAATAAAAGAATTACAAAGTATCAGATTTAATATCAAGTAATTAGCAACTGTACCATTTAAAACAGAGCCCCAAAGCTCCACCTGATCAGGATGCGACATGTTCATGACATTCTTGCAATTACCATTTATTACATATGCAGCCTGCAGCAGTAAAATCAAAATTCATTTAAGAATGGTTAACTTAAGATCAAGGCTTTAAATAGTGCACTATAGAAGTCTATCGGTGCAGAACAGCCCCTGCCCACTACAGGGGCTGCCATAGTGGCGCTATGTTGATTCCAACAAAGTCTCTTTGAATAGAGAAATTAGGGTTTTTTAGTGGGCTACTTTTGGGATGTTAATTTCCAAAAATGGGATCTATAGATGTAATCATAGTGAAAACGATTAAGAAGACTTGGATTTAGAAGATGATGATGATGATGATTGATGAATGATGATTCCTATCTAAGAAATTTATATTTGACTTTTGTTGGTATTTACTAGTATCTTTTGTTCAAGACACCTATGACCTTTTATGGTTAATTATGAATGTCATTGATGTTGAGTTTTTTTTTTTTTTTTTTTTTTTTTTTTTTTTTTATTATCATTTTTGAGCATTTATATTTATATAATATACAATACATTATAAACTAGGTTAAAAATTTCAAAATAATGGCTATTTCACTGAAACATTACTTATGATATTTTTTGGTCCTAATTATAAGAAATAGAGACCCCCTTTAAGATGTATTAATTGTTAATTTCCTTCATTGCTAATTTCCTTTTATACCCTTTATTTACTGTGAAATTTATTAATAAGACACCTACTTGCCTCTCATGCAATGCAAGTAGATGTGTTTATTAATCTATTAACAATACCATTTACAGTCATTGGTAGAAAAAAGTTATCTCTTGAATTAGTAGTGTCATTAAATGTAACCACTATTTAAACCATTCAATTCAAAGGATTTTTTTAGAATAAAATTAAATTTATGACATTATTCATGTAATACCTTAACTACTTTTATTGGTCTTGATTAATTAGTCATTTGTTTCTTAAATAAAGGATTAGAGGGAGTACTATACTAATTTATGAGAAGCAGAGTTACATTCAAAATTGTTTAGATGTCAAAGAATCCAATAACAATTTGTATTAATAGGGATTAGGATATGCTTGTTTATAAATTTTCGAAGAATTAGGTAGTTAGACACATGCAGACTTTGGCAGGGAGTCATCATTTTAGACAAGCAAGAAAGTTTTTCGGAGAATCATTTGGTCTAGTGGCATACTAATTACCATCGAAGTAATATCATTATTCGAGAGAGATGTACAAAAAGTATATAGAAAAGTGGAACAAAACATTTTGGGAAGCTTATGAAGGTAGTATACCTACTACTGATTTTCAAAGATGTCATTCCTTATTATAGAACCTGCAGTACAAAGGCTGATAAGGAAGTAGAGGTCCCAATACTGGGCCAGGGTCAGAAAAGGCCTACAATATGGAGAGTTTATTCTAGATGGAATAAGGGCCTAGTGGAGAGTTAATTATCTTAGGTGGAAACTAGAGGGAAGAGAGATCATGTGGGAAAAGGATTATTTAATAAGCTGATTGGAGAATAGGGGATCTGTTATTGGAAATCACAGTTTGTTAGGCCTTTTGCTGGGCAGAGAGTGTTTTCTCTGGGGAGGTTAAGCTCTGGTTTCTTTCTTTCAGTTCTATAATAGCTCAAGCTCTCTTCAATTCAACAAAACTCATTTTATTCAATATTTTGTTTTCT